CCCTGAGTCTTATTGTGGGTGCTGAATGAATGCTTGGAGGGATGTACCTAAGTCCGTGGAGTGTTACAGGTGGGCTGAGCTGTCTTTGGTTTGGGTTTAATTTCAGTTTGGAGTCAGTATTTTAATCATTTCACCCAGCATCAAGCTGAATGATTTGTTTTCTATTAAAGATTAACTGTTGGAGTAGTAATTTTAAAACTGATTCTCCTAGACATCATGCCACAAGAGGAGTGAATTCTTCCTCCTTTTCACAATGGAGGACTCAGGAAAGACTTTCAGCTCCGAAGAAGAAGAAGCCAACTACTGGAAAGATCTAGCAATGACCTACAAGCAGAGGTGAGCCCTGCAGAACCAATGGAAGAAACTAATAGTCAGTGAAGGGAAATAGCCTGCCCAAGGTGGTAGTGAGTGAGAATCCTAACTGTCCTGTGGTACTGCTGTCTGTCTTACATTCTGGAAGGGTTTTTATCAGCTCTGAGTTGTCATGGCTGGTTGGTTCCTCTAAATGGGAAAATAACTTTTTGCTCTGTCTAGAAAAATAGGTTGTGGCAGGTGCTCATCTTCCATGTGTTTATGTGTGCAAAGGGGTGTTGGAAGTCAGTGTTTTGGTTTTCTTACCCCTCGTGGATTCTTAGGGAGGTATTATTCCAGTCCTGATAGTTTCTTTACTTACTTTGCCTTAAGCACTTGGCAGCTTCCCCTAGCGTTGCTCGGGCATCATGTTTACCTCCAGGTAAGCCTTGTTTACATCAAGGCTTCACTTCAACCAGTCCATTCTTTTTTTTTTTTTTTTTTTGTACCAAGGATTGAATTCAGGACCATGCGCTTGCGAGGCAGGCACTTATGCTGCTGAGCTATATCCCTGGCCTCTTGTATCGCATACATTAGATAAAATTGGTTTTTATATTTCCTGTTATCTTATTAAAATAAAATGAAAAAGTATGTAAATTTTAGTCATTCTATATTTAAATAATTGGACTGGTAAGTGGTTAAAGATAATCCAGAGGGTTAGGATGTATCTTAGGGGTAGAACACTTGCCAAGCATGTATAGGATCCTAGATTTGATTTCTGCTACCAGCACTACCAAAAGCCAAACCAAAAATGGAGTGGGTGTGGTTGGTGGCACACACCTGTAATCCCTGCATTTGAGAGGCTGAGGCACGAGGATCGTTGTGATTTCAAGACGGACCTGGGCTATAAAGTCAGCTCAAGGCCCAGACTGAACTGCATTGTGAGACCTTGTCTCAAAGAGCCAAAAAAAAAAAAAAAAGAGAGAGAAAGAAAAATATCCATCCTATGCATGTGTGTGTGAACAACAATAATAGTAATAATTAGGTTAATTTAGAAAGAAAGAAGTCTTTAATTTTGAGGATTATGGAGCCAGCCAAGTTGGCACGTGTTTGTAATCTCAGCACTTGAGAGGCTGAGGCAGGAGGATTGCTGTGAGTTCAAGCCCAGCCTGAACTACATGGGGAAACTCTGCCTCAAAAACAAAAACACATTTGACAGTTTTGAAACCAGATATTTGGCATGGAGTAGGAACAGATAATAGTGCTGTGATAAATTAACATTTTTTATATATCCAGTATCTGACTGAGTAAATCCACAGGGTATACAGAATCCAAAGTTATTTCTTGAATGTTGGGCTCAAAAAATACAGGTGGAGTGACCAGTAGGTTAAGAATAGGTCTTGTAGTCAGGCATACACCCAAGTTAGATCCAAGTTCTGCTTTTGACTTTGCCTATGACTGTTACCTAAGTTACTCACCTTTTTTTCCTGCCTGGTCCTGAGGTCTCACACAAGGTAAGCAGGTGCTCCAGAGCTGAGCTACATCCCTTAACCCTCTTAAAATTTTGAGTCAGACTCTCTAAGTTGCCCAGATTGACCTTCGGTTTAGGACCCTCGTGTCTCAGCCTCATGAGTAGCTAGCGTTCTAAGCATGTAACGCCACTCCCAATTTGACGAGTCATTCATCTTGTCTAAATTGTATCTTCTTGTCCATAAAAATGGGAATAGCAATAATTGAGTGAAGGGCTGGTGAGATGGCTCAGTGGTCTAAAGCACCTACTTAGAACAAGCTTAGCAAAGCACGGGGACCACGGTTCAATCCCGAGCACCACATGCCAGCCAGCCCCGCCCCCTGGTGGGCTGAGCTGGCCACACACACACACACACACACACACAAATAAATAAATAAAATTAAAAAA